AAGATTTGGGATATCTGGGTAAGAATTTATTTCTGAAGCAAAACTGCCAATTGTATCTAGCACAACTGCAAATGCCTACATCCCCAGTGAGAAACCAAACTCCAACTTTTATAGCCAAAGCCAAATGACTGAACTGCACTGACTTCACACCTGATTTCATGGGCTTAAGCAATATCAAGACCAGGCCTGTTTTCTGACACCTTAAAATTATGCATTGAACTCCAAGACACAGACAAAAAAAACTATCAACAGTCATACTGGTTACTTCAAATGCAATGATTCCTGTTTGTTTATGGCTTGCACTTTATCAAGAAGAAAGGGCAACACCATGAAATAAGTAAAAAATACACGTACCCTGTTTATTTTACTGAGACAACAGCTTTCTCAAGCAGATAGCCAGTCAGTTCCGGCAACATTACAGTATACACTGCTGGCTCTTAACTAATGTCACTGCAGAACCCTAAGCCCTTGATGACTCAGCTCAAAAATTTACCTACAAAATTGGCTTCTCACATCAACACTCAGGACAGAACCTCTGGAGAAAACTTCATGCATACAATGAGGTGTTTCACATTGTCTAACCCCCGCTATACCAGGCTATAGGGTAATGCATTTGATACTTGGCATCAACATTCCTAGAGTCCACTGGTTACTTTAAGAGGTGTCACAGGGGTGAAATGAAAAGACCTCCTGTGCTGTCATACACACAGACACACCAGTGTTAACTCATCTGAGAACCAATGTACATTTAATTTCAGTTATTCTTGACTCTTGTGCTATTGGTTTAATTGAGGGTTTAATTGATTTAATTGATTCAAAACAGACCTCCAAACTACCAAGGCAAACTGCGCTCTTATTCACGCCAATAAAACTAATCTGAAATCCAATGGGATGTCATCATTGTAATGCAGAAGAGTATTTGGCTCACCAACCTCAACATAAAAAAGCAAATAGGTTTGTAATTCTAAATTGAAAGCGATTTCCCTAACATCTCAGAAGAACAAATCGGGCAACTCACTCCAATCATCAACATTTACCATTACGATACCCAAGAAGGAATTACTACGCCATAGCAAAACACCTCGTATTGACCCAGGCATCTGCCTGAGATGGTGTAAGTCAAGGGTGGCCAACCTGTAATGTGTGCCATAAGTGGCATGGGCAACCTGTGTGTGGCACACAGAAGATTGAGGAAGGGCCAGGCAGCATGGCAGATAGGGCAAGAAGCAAATGCAGAGCAGCAGATTGGGTGCAGAGCACAGAACAGAGAGCAGAAAGCAGAACAGCAGATCAGGCAAGGGAAATGGATCATACTGACACTCAAGGAGGGTACAAGGCTAATTTGTGGTACACCTGCCAAAACGGTTGGCCCCACAATGATTTAAGAGTAGCCCATCCTGTATCTGTGTAGGTTTTTGGAAGAAGTGATGACTGAGGTCCCTTCCAACTATGACCAACAAATAGTTATTATACAGAAATGTTCAGGCAAACTAGGCCTGCCTTGTTGGGGTGTTGTGCATTTAGAGTTAAGCTGAGTAAAATAAGTGAGCTTGCGGATGCATTTCCTGGCTTGTTTTCTCCTGAGAGTCATTAACATACTGGGACTGGACTAGTACATTAGAGATGACTAGGAGGTGATAAGAGGGGCCTTGCATTCTACTGCATGAAGCAGAGCAAATGGGAGTAAATAGGGACCATACTCACGAGAAAAAAGTGAGACTTTACAAAGAGACAATGTAAAAACACGTACCTATGTATTGTACACATTTCTTCCAAGAACCATAATAGCAACTGAAATACACAGGCCTAAGTTAAAATAAGCCCCAAGCAAAGAGCAGGGGAGGGAAGATCCAGACCAAGCATAGCCTGGCCCATTCATTCATTCCTGGAGTCCTATCCAGGGCAGTAGCAAGAGTTGGAGCTGGGGCTGAGCCTTCGATAGACTACATGGGGTTAGGCTCAAGCAGCTCCTGAGGTACTTGGTGGGGCAGGATTAGGTGGGATGTCACATTTGTGCTCAGTGGAATCCTCCAGATGGAGGCAGGCTGGTTGGTCGGCTGGCTGGATACTTGGCTTTCCCACCCAGAAGTTTCACTACAGGTGGAGTTTTATGGTAAAGACCCAGAGAGGACTACCTCATAAGTGGAAACCATCTGCAAGAGGTACTGATAGCTGCAGGGTGAAGAGTGGGGGCTGTGGATTTCTCTGGGAAGCCAGAGCTTCTTTTCCTCCTCGGAGCAGTTATTTCAAGGCTCCTTCTTATTTCTCCACCAATGGCGAAGCAGAAGCTTCTGTTTTCCTCTCCCAACTGGCCAGTGCACATAAGGGAGAGGAGGAGGAGGATGTGAAAATCCCCTTGGAAAGCAGCTCTTAACACCTAATAGCATGAGATAACTGCTGCATCCCAAAGGGATTAGCATCTCTGAAACCCTTTACCATGGAAAAATGTTTCTCTATACTCTGCACCTATTCTGAGTTTACTATTGACTTTTCCAACAACTACACTAACCTAGTGCATTCCCACAGTGCCAGAGTAAACAAGGTGCTAACACGTTATCATGGTTTTATCTAACCCTGATCAGAGCAGGTCTGGACAGAACAGGAGTTCAGATGCCAACGGCTGGTCTACATTAGCACTTCCTTTGGTGGAGGTGAGTTGCGTATAGCGTCAAGGCAGAATGCTCAGTGTGGACAAGACACGTGAAGAGTTAAAGACAACTTAAATATGGTGCAGCAGTTAGGGACTTGAGCTCAATTCCACTACAAACAGTGTCAGTGTAATTAATGCTTATTAGAAGTGGGTTCCACCAAGAATATTCAAATAGCAAGTCTAAAACTATATACATGTACAGTTAAAAAGGGGACTCATTTTTAAACAGTTTTCATGGCTTAAAACAGACTGATATTTTAAAAAGCATATTGTTTTAAACTGAAAGGAACATTTGGTAAGTGGAATGACACCCTTTTGATGGCGCACTCATCAATCAATGAAAGCATACCCATAGTGTCTTATCAGCCCAGACTAGACAATATGCACCCTGAGGCAGGACGCATCTGCTCTGGACCTTTGCATTTCTTAGGTCACTCTAACCCTCAGTGGGCATGTCTACATGAGACATTTACTGCAGAGTTGCATAATTAACTCCACAGTAAAATGTCACCATCTACACATGCAATGTTATTAGGACAGAGTGAACTAATTAACTTTGCAATTGGATAGCACTGCCAAACACAAGTACTGTCCTACGGCCGAGTTATTTACTTTGCCGCAACACACATATAGATGCTGATGGGGCTGGTTGGGGCAAGAGAGTACTTCAGTGTGGAGGCTGCCTGCTGGCTAGCCCTGCACTAAAGCACCCTCATGCCCCAGCCAACCCCCGCCAGCATGGTGAGCCAGGTCAGAGCAGCCCCAGGCTGGCAGGCTGACCCCAGGACCACCTACCAGCCGGGGCTGCTCCAGTCTGGCTCAACATGCTGCAGTCCTGGGCATGTGTTCAAATGCCATGCCTGGGAGCAATACACTCTGGTGCAAAATGTGCCAGAGTTTATTCAGTTTCCTTAATAGCACATGTAGACATGCCCAGTAAATAGCTGAGATGGATCTAACAGTTCACAGAATGAGAACCGGCCTTCTGCAGCAAGAATATTTCCCTTTGAGTACTGACTAATGAATATACACTCCAGGGAGTTCAGTTCTTGATGCATTGGTCCAATGGAAAGTATCCCCTTAGCTACTTTTTTTTTTTAAATCTAAGTCCTAAATAGCTACAAACATTTTCTGCATCCTATACATTGCTGGTTCCTTCCTGTCCTACCAGCCACTCAGAAGGATCAACCAGTTAAAGGTGAAAGAAGAAACAATTTCTACTTTCAACACTGTTAAATTCAAAAGTGTTATTAGCACAAGGGACTTTAAAAGTTTGAAAGACAGTAGATATAAAATCCCCAGCCTGTCTTCCCAATTAGAGCCTTTAGAACAGTTCATCCTTTTTGTTGAATGATCACGACAAAGAAAATAATCTGTTCATGGCATAATATCACAAAGGCATGTGGGATATATGTCTTTGGAAAAGAGAGAAACGCATTCAATATTTCTCAGTATACTATGCTATAGTCAATTGGACCAGTAAAACAGTCTGTAACATTCATTCAAACATACATCTCCATAAAGGATAAGTTATGCAACTGTACAATCTACCTTTCTACAGCAACCTTAGTTCTACAAGTGCTCAATCATTATAGATATACAATAGTGACAAAGATAAATAACCATAGTGTATATATAAATGGGTACTTTCAGAGTTATATAGGTTTTTCAATAGTTCCCACAATGCTACATTCATGCTACCAGGTTCACTGAAGTGGGGTTTTACTTTAAACAAGAGAGAGAGGGAGCATTTTCTCATTCTTCATTTAACAATGTAAGCAACAGCCCAAACCATCCAAGCAAACTAGGAAGTGAGAGGGTCACGGAGGGATGCAATTTTGTATCAAAGTTTTACTCCTGTCACTGTCCTTTCGCTAACATAATTAATACATCCTCTTTGCTATGATAGCACATACAACACCTAACTGCCAGTAGTGCAGCTAAGAAGAGTTAGCATGCCAAATATTAGTTCACTAATATATATCTTTAAAAAAAAACAAAAAACAAAAAAACCCACACTGGCATGTTCTTCCAAAAGCACTGGGGTAGTGCCAAATATCCTCTTTGATGAAGTCTGAAAACCTGTAACATGGTCAACCAGAACAGGAGTCATCCCCTCAGTGAACAGCAGCTTACAAACCACCCTGAGGTCAGCCTGGCACCAACTGGCAAAGAGGTCAAGTTTTTTGAGAGCTGCTCATAAAGGGTCTACAGAATTTTCAAGAGGAGATCTTTGAGCTATTTGGTTTGGCATGTTAATTTTCAGTGATTGCAAAATATCCCCACCCCCCCACGAGTTACTTACCTACTATACGTATATTATTTCTTAAAGGT